TTTTCTTAGAATACAGTTTGTACAAAGTTAGCTTTGCTTTGACATGTTTGGCCTGCAGTTTGTGTTGACTGGTGAGTAAGGGCCTTCTGTCAGTAAATGACCAACGAGCCAAATGAGTCACCACTTATGAAGCATTTAGACTTTATCACATACTCATGTCACATATACTCTGTCAGACTGTATTAACATTAAAGAGAGAATATCAATTACAGTTTGGAGCCTATGAGGTGTAACTACCAAAACCCCTCAGCTCTTCATCTTAGGACAGTTACATCAAAGACTTGGGCAATTATAGAAACGACTCAGTCCCTCTTCACTTTGGTGAATCTCTATCAGGGGTATTGAGAATATGAGACAGCAATGCGTTTGTCTGTAGTGATATCACGGCCTTTCATGTTAATTAATGGGCAAGAAACTATGTAAGCCTTCAGTGCTAGCAGAACTTCAGCCCATCAGAATTAATGACCCTTGTGAATACAGATTATGAGCATGTGCAGACGGTCAGGGAAAACGATGGATTCTTGGAGCTGCAGCTGCCATCTTTCATGTGTCGTATTTCATTTTCATAGCACAGAAACATTAACAGTACTGAAAGACTGTTGTTATCCGATTTATATTCTTCTTTTTTTCTGACACACTTTTGTTCACTACTTTATTTTTGAGATGTTTACAAAATAATGACACAGTTCCACTTTTGGAATGTTCGAGTGGAAAAAGTATGCTTATATACAGTTTTTGATTGGATGTACTGTTTTTGTAGAATGATCGTAAAATAACATTTTTCCCCCAGTTAATGGGGCAAAGGTGTGTGAACCCAACTTTTATTATGATTATACAAGTCCATTATCAACACCCTATTAATAATACAGCATACTATAGCAAACCCCCTAGCAACCACCTCAGATTCCATAGCAGCCACCTAGCAACCACCTGGAGCACCACAGCAAGAACCTAGCATCCCCCAAGAAACTACTTGGGATATCATTGGGTTCACTATGGATAGCATAGCATCTGACTAACAACACCCTAACATCCAGCTGGGGTGCCATAGCAACCACATAGCAACACCCTAGCATCCGGCTGGGATACCATAGCAACCATCTAGCAACACCCTAACATCCAGCTGGGATACCACAGCAACCACCTATCAACACCCTAACATCTAGCTGGGATGCCATAGCAACCACATAGCAACACCCTAGTATCCAGCTGGGATACCATAGCAACCACCTAGCAACACCTTAGCATCCAGCTGGGATACCACAGCAACCACCTAGCAACACCTTAGCATCAGCTGGGACCACAGCAACCATCTATCAACACCCTAGCATCCAGCTGGGATACCATGGCAACCACTTAGCAAAACCCTAACATTCAGCTGGGATACCATAGCAACCACCTATCAACACCCTAGCATCCAGCTGGGATACCATAGCAACCACCTAGCAACACCCTAACATCCGGCTGGGATACCATACTAACCACCTAGCAACCATGTAAAATACCATAGTAACCCCTGGCAACACCCTAGAAACTGTCTTGGAATTTTAACCCCACTTTTCTAGTTATTATTATTGTTATTATTATTAAAATTCCTAAAGTAGCTCTGCATCCCTGTAAATATCCTTGATTTGTTGGGCACATCAGCCCTGCAGTTTCAGTCTAAAACTGGGGGAAAGAGTGTACGTTTGATTTCTCCCTGAACTATCACTTTAAGAAGCCATATTGACCACTTGTGCTTGTGGCAGGTGACCCTCTGTTGTCAGGGGCAACCAGCAGACACACTGCACCACTCATGATGGACGAGAGCTTTCATTAGTCCCATTTTCTTTATCAGGACTTAGCCATAACAATACCAGTGCTCCATCATGTACCCTGCCCTTTCATGCTGCCTAGATTCATGAAGAATAACAAAATGAAATTAATTTTGGAGAATTATTTTGTTCTCTTAAGATTCAGGACGTGCTTAGTCGAGCACATTCATCAGAATAATGTCAGGCTTCCTCCATCCAAAAATATCAAAACACTGTAATTCATCTGTAGTGTTTTATTAAATATGACAATCTAGACATTAGAGTCCAGCTAAGGTCTTCAAACATACAAAAGACAGTGTGCAGTAAGAATGCGGAAAAAAAGTTAGTGATAAAACATAACATTACATTTTCACTTCATTTTTTAAAAAACATCACCGTAAGGCATGTGGAATGAAAGGTGTAACATGTAACCCCCTTAACAGCACCAACCATTCAGATCCTTTTAAAGCATCAGGCAAATCCCTGTTGCCAAAAGACAATTCCAGTTTTTTCAACATTTTTCAAAAAATTGTAAACAAAGTCATTCAGAGTGGTTGGATGTGAAATGCTTCATTCAAAAGTTACTGTCTGGGAAGTTAAGTTCATAGCAGTGATAGGAACCGGATATCTGAATGCCCTTAAAAACTACATCTCTGAGAGCTATTATATATAATGATCACTGGCAAACTGCCTAAAAACATACTACTTAAAATCCATTCATAGAGATAGACATGCAGGGTGTTGTAAGGCAAAATAGTCCCCAAAGAAAACACGTTTTCAAGTTTACCACCATTTTACTATTACCAATATATAAAAACTAAACAGAGAGTAAACAAAATGGCTATTTTTTTGTATATCTGCATTAAAAGCAAGGCATCATTCCATAGTAAACCATTCTGAATGACTGTTTACATCTCAGCAATTTAAGTAAAAACTGTGGAATTCCACTTCAAGCAGATCTCTGCTTTCTCCTTCATAGGCCACAATTAAAACATACAGACAGTTAAGCATTTAAGCAGGAGCAACAGACAGGCAACCAGTAAGTCTGACATGTTGTTCAAGGCAAATGTTCAAAAGCTTTTTAGAAAAGAAATTGAAAATAAATTCAAATATAAAAACTGGCACATAAAACATTTAAAACCTTCAAAATTACATTATAAAAAAATGGAGAAATCTAAAACCAATGCATTGATTAGGCTTAATTAATCAGGGAAACTTGATCCCTCCACTCACACTGCCCTATACACTGTAACAGTGGCAGTGAGACCAAACAGTGTTATTGTATCTGCATGTATTAGTCAGTAATGCTAAGCTACATAAATCATCCCTGAATACTAAGTACACGAGGCACAAGAAAAACAGGTTAAATAACCCTGACACAATGGCTTTACCATATAATTGAGGCATTCTCAATAACATGTATGAGTAGTGTCTGTTTTTTTTTTTAAAGAAAAAAGTGTTTGCAGTGTTTATAACGCAGTGCATGTTAGTGTTGACATGTTAATATCAGAAGACGTGATTAATCAGTGAGTATAAGTGCAAAGAACAGTCATTTGTAGTACAGCAACTTAAGATGCTGGTGCTCATGTCTAGTGACTGTGACCTTTTACAGTGCTAACAGATCAACAAAGTGTGTGTGTATATATATATATATATATATATATATATATATATATATATATATATATATATATATATATTCAAGCCAAAATGGCAGGGAGTGCCCTCTTTCTAACCAGAGGAGTCCCAGACTTCTACAAATGAGGGCAGTCTCTTCATCTGTCATACGTATAAAAAGTGGCTGGACAACTTCATTTATACTGGAGCATACTAGGGGTGGGCAATAAGACAAAAAAATACAAGGCCTGTCAAAATGACCAGATAAAAAGTGTTGGTATTGTTATCATCATCTCTGTAGGTACATCTGCTGATGCTTCCGTGAACATCACAGATGATGTGTCCATAAGCTTAAGCAGAGATCCTCCTACGAGCGATGTGTCAAGAACTATTGTGCCATTATTTGAATACTGAAATCATTATGTGGATATTTGTTACATTAATCGCAGAAAGACAGAAAACATACAGGCTAACAATTCAGTGCCATGTATGGCTGCGTTCACACAGTAAAAGTAAAAGTGGCCCAAATCTGATTTTCTCACCAAATCCGATTTTTTTTTGGTTTGGCTGTTCACATTATCTTTTAAGTGTGTCGTGTATCCGACATCAGTCTGAACAGATCAGCTCCTAAACTGACCCACATGCGCAAAAGAACAATGCTTCACGTTGCTCCATGTGGCGCGTCATCCAAAGGTAAACAGTCACGACTGCCGATGAATGTAATATTTGATGTAAAGGTCGCATGAATTCCGATCTGGCTGTTCAGACTGAGTCGCATTGCTGCATATCGGATACGTATTGGATTTCCGTACCACATATGAAAGCGTCTCAAACCAGAATTGAAAATGTCAGATTTAATGTGTTTTTTGCTGTTCACAGATAAACATCTGAGTCACATATGAAGAAAAAGATCGGATTTTACTTTTACCTGCTGTGTGAACGAAGTCTTAGTTATGCCGCTATACTTTGTTACTCATGAGTGTCTGAACATTAGAGCGTTGTTAATGACGTGGCTGAGAGGGCAGAGATAGTGCGGCTGTTAACTAGGCTAACTACTTTAGCTGATGTTAGTCAGGTCCAGAAATAATGAAAATACATTTATCTGATAAATAATCTATTGGCATTTTGCCCACTGAGGAGAAATCACCTTGTGTAGTAGAGGATGAGTCTTCATCAGCATCCGAACTGACACTTGTTAGCTCTATTAGCTCATCTGAAGAGGCAGCACTCATCACTCCATCACTCATCCAACATGAAAACCTACTGATGCCCCTCGGCTGGTGTTAGTTAAATAAAACATTATTACTGGATCTCTGTTCATGAATTCTTATGGATTCTCACATATGCACATTTCTACTACTACTAATAATAATAATAATAGCAACATTTTTGAGACAGACCTTGACTCTGAAGCACATATCACATCACCCAACATACTTAAACATTCGGTAAAGTTCATGTGTGAGAAAACTAGTGTCTTGCAGTGGTTTGCATTTAATAAATCAGGAATTAAAACTTTTTTTCTGTCTCTAACGGTTACCTGCACAGGCCTAATATCATGATACCTGAAGACATTTTTATGATAGTATAAAAGAGGACAGTGCCTACAGTGTTATACCAACTGTGCAGCACCATATTCAATTATGCAGGGCTAATTATGCTCTCTTTAATTCCCAGCATTCTGATTTCTAATCTCAAGTATTGATGATACGAAGGATATGCCCAGAAAAGCTTGTAATTTGCCATGTAACAATACCATATCGTCATTTCTCCCACCCCTAGAGTACACAGTGGAACCATCTTTTTATAGGCGTCACTCTGTCAGGACAGGGATGTCGATTTCGATTCCAGACATTCGTGATCTTGTGGAGTAGCGATTTCCTGCGTACCTCTGTGAGGGACCATAGCTTTGTGAGGGAGCGTGTGAAGGCGCATAGCTTTGTGAGGGAGCGTGTGAAGGCGCATAGCTTTGTGAGGGAGCGTAACCATAAGCCTGCGAGGCTCCTGCTTCAGACCCATATCCATCCGGGACTGACATTTGGGCCATGTAAACCTGGGGCGGTACAGGCTGGGTAGGCAGGGTCTGGGCATACCCCTGTGCTGGGATAAAGGCTGGGGCATCCAGAACAGCAGGGGGGAAAGGCTGAGGCACATAGGTAACAGGTGAAGGGAGGCCATTGGTCAGTAGTGGTTGAGCGGAAAGGCTGTTGGTCATGGCAGGCTCCTCTGGTAGAGGCAGCCAGAACGGCGAAGGCAGCTTCTTACACATGCAGTACCACATGAACATCAGCAAGGCAGCAAGGATGAGGCCACCAGCTCCGCCGATCGATACGTACACAGCAAACTCCACGCCGAACAGGTTATCATAGCGGGCGTTCAGGTTCTTGGTGTGGAACAGGAACCAGACGGACGGCGGCATGGCGATGGCTCCGGCTAAAAAGAGCAGTATGCCGGCCACCAGGTGGCAGCCCGAGCTGTTGACCAGGCAGCGGCTAGTCTTGATGTCGTCCGGGGTTTTGGAACAGCACGCCGTCTTACACATGCCTGTCAGGCTGATCAGCAGAGCCAGGCCGGAGAAGAACAGCGCTGTGGAAAAGAGGAATACAGTTTGTACACTGTGCTGTACTGTTTATTTTTTATCCCTCCTGAAAATGAGGTGCACAGAAAGGAAAATACTACACTGTACAAGATTCTGGGAGTATTTCATAAAATAGCAGTGGGCAAGCCAAAAATCAAACCTGTCTGGTAAAAGATCATCTAAGATTTTGTTCATTTTGGGCTAATAGTCCAGCAAACTGGGAAATCCAACTTCCATAAAACCAAAGTTTAACAATTCTTTTATATGAACAGCTTAATGTGAATACACCACCACAGTGGTTTAATATGTAATGCTGCATTCTAATCTTTTTGGCGTACATCTGACAACATAGAGAAAAAGCATTATTGTTAACATTTCCAGCAATAAACACCAACCTGCTGGTAAACAGAACTGGAGTAGCCTGATGTCCAGCTGGTCTACTTTAGAGTACCACTCTGCATCAAAGTAGTAGCATCCTCTGTAGCCCTCTTGTTGGACACACTTGGTCCACAGGCCATCGTAAACGGTGACGTTTTTGGCATTACGGTTGAAGGTGATCAGGCGAGTGGTCCTCCACTGTGGGATCACTGTGGCCACAGCTAGCGCACCTACTGAGAGCATTGCGATGATGAACGCAAACGCGTTGGTGGCATGGATGTCACGGCAAGACATGGTGACCAACTGTTCTGGCACCAAACCCTGAGAAAAAGCAGACCGGTAGATCAGAACCTACTCAAAGGAAAATTATTACTTTTTTTGTCTAAAATGTGCACTTCTGAAGTAAAACAGCTTCCAAAATGGTCCTGTACTTCTACAAAATAAGTGAAATGTGTGCAAGCATAGCAAGCAAATGTGTGAGTATTTTCATATATTAAAAAAGCATAAAATCACTGGATAGATCGATCTCTGGCTGTACTAGCTTACAATTCAATTACTCATATTCCGGCGCCTAAGTAAGTGGAAAGGGTATACATATAGTAACAGATCACTACCCACAACATGAGACACAAGGAGCATGAAGTAGTAAAATAGTCTCAGGCGAGTTATAAGGTCTTTTTTAGGTTTTACATGAGATAGAAAAACAGTTGAAGAATATTGTATTGCTGCTTTAGCAGTCAGAGTATCTAAAAAGCAACTTTCCTGTCTTATTCTATGGCCTATGGATAACTGGGGGACTGTAGGGTGTTGGATTCAGTATTGTGATGTGAAAGTATTGTACAAAATAAAAAAAACATGCAATTCTCCCAGATTTATTTTAAATATAAGATGGCTAAAGTAGAGTAATGGATAATAAGTGGTTGTACGTTGCTTCTAAGAATGGTGCCAAACAATTATACAATCTATTTTACATTTATTTTAAGTTTGGAAGACAGAAACTGAAAGAGGATTTCCACTGATGTACCTTTCTGCCAAAAATGGATTAAATATTTCAGGCATCAGGCAGTGTATTTCTGTGAGGTAGCTTGTGAAGCACAACGGTGGTGAAGTCTGAAACATTGTGCACTTCGTATCAAATCACCCTGGATGACTGGATTTTACAGATTTAAGTATTAAAAAATCAGTGGAATTACTTGAACACTATTTATACATCTATATACAGATTATACTCATCATATAAAGTGAAAAAACACCTCAGATAAAATTCCACTACTAATGAATAGACAAAAAAGAAGTCTTACTTCTATAAACATTATTAACAGTAAAAATGATCTAAATTGCACTGAGAGGGAGCATTGTTGAGTTCTTGTATCCAGCCTTTAATGAAGGCCAGTGTGAAAGCAGCTGCACAATAACCACAAACAATACATCTCTGTCAAAGACAGTCTGTGCTGTCTGCAACACAACTCCCAGTAACAACAAGGCTGTGATAGTGGCTCGATCCTAACGAAAACTGTCCCTAGCTTTGTTCTTACAGACAAGTGTTACTGTAAAATGAATATACAGCTGTGTCTGCCTATTAAAACAACTCTAACGTTCAATAACTTAGCTAACCTAGTTAGTGTTGAACATAGCTGTAAATACGCCTCGCTGTACTGTGGAACTCTATAGTAAGTTACTGGGTTGGTTAGCTAGCTAGGTTAGCTTAGCCAGACATACACATAACGTCGTTTTTCGAACTGTTTTGGGTGTAAAAGTTGACCCATTTCTGGTAAACACTTAGCTATTTATGATCTCTCCTCAGCTCATTAGCAAATCTGACCAGTATTATCCAGCGGATGGCCAACAACACCGCAGGCCAGCCAGGCAGCGAGCGAGCTAACGTAGCTGAAGTTTGTACGGAGTAACCTGTTGCTTTTCGGTTCCTCTCGGAGCTGCTCATGTGGTCTGTGTCGTGTTGTATCGCATACCTGTCCGAAAGTAGGTTTACTGGGTCGGTTCTGGTGAAATGATGGTCATTTTTTCTCAGTTTTTCGCTCCTCCGCTCCTGGCACAATAGAGTAATACAGCACTTCCTCAGGCGCGTGAACGGGCGGTGCGTTTGACGTCATGCGCGTTCACGCATATACGAATGATTCATAACAGCAGTGTTTACTCTCTCTCTCTCTCTCTCTCTCTCTCACACACACACACACACAAACACACACATCTGTTTGTTTTTTCATTCTGTTTATTTTTCCCTGTTTTATATTTTTTCTCACTATTTTGAATATTTTCTTCGTTTATCTTTTTCTCTTACTCTCTCTTTCTATTCTTTCTATTCTCCCCCTCTTGTTTCTCATCCCCATATGAAATCTGTCCATTTCCTTTGTTTATCTTTTTTTATCTTTATTCTATCTACCTGTTCTATTCTCTCTCTCTCTCTCTCTCTCTCTCTCTCTCTCTCTCTCACCTCTCTCTCTCTCTCTCTCTCACACACACACATCTGTTTTCTTAGTTTTTTCATTCTGTTTGTTATCTTTCCCTGTTCTATTTATTTTCTCACTATTTTGAGTATTTTCTTTGTTTATCCTTTTCTCTATTCTCTCTCTAGGTTTCTTTCTCTTACTCTCTTTCTATTCTTTCTATTCTCCCTTTCTCTTTTCTTTACCACTATCAAATCTGTCCATTTCCTTTGTTTATGTTTTTTTTTCTATTTTAGCTCTCTCTCTCTCTCTCTTCTGTTCCTAGCCACTGTATTCTATCTAATTTCTCCTTCTCTCCCTATTCTCTCTCTCTCTCTCTCTCTCTCTCTCTCTCTCTCTCTCACTCTCTCTCTCTGTTTTTGTGGACCTCGCACGTTCATGATTTTCATCACACTGGCTCAGCATTGTGTAGGTGGAGTTTTTGACACATGCATCAATCACAGAATCGCCTTCCGTTCTCTCTCTCCACAGGAACATGTCCAAGTGCACATGATTTATAAGTCGCCTGGTCTCCAGCCTCCAGAGGATTACGTCCCTCCAAGTAGGTTCTGCCCTCTCTTCTTACATGGCAATCGAAATTAAGCAAATAGCATTACATAAACATGACGCTTGGCAGTTATAAAGTAGATGGTAACAAATTATACTAGGGTGGATAATGTTACTTCATCTCTTTGTGGATGAATAGGGGACTTTAAAGGGACACTCCAGTGTTTTTCAACCTAATCTCTATCAGGCACATCTGAATTGTCTCATGGACAAACCAGTTGACTCAAAACACATTGATAATATAAGTCACTGGGCTTTTGCTGAATTTTGTCAATTAACTTTTAAAATACATCACACAAATACAACCCCAATCCCAAAAAGTTGGGATGCTGTGTAAAATGTAAATAAATGTAAAAACAGAAAGCAATGATTTTCAAATCTCACAGACCCGTATTTTATTCACAATAGAACATAGAACACGTCACATGTTGAAAGTGAGACATTTTACCTTTTCTTGAAAATGATTAAATTCATTTAGAAGTTGATCGTAGCAATGCATCTCAAAAAGTTGGTACAGGGCCGTGTCTACCATTGTGTAGCATCCCCTCTTCTTTTAACAGCAGTCTGTAAACATCTGGGAAGTGAGGAGACCAATTGCTGGAGTTTTTGGAGAGAAATGTTGTCCCATTCTTGTCTGATGTAGGATTCTAGCTGCTCAACAGTCCTGGGTCCTTCTTTGCCAGATTTTTCGTTTCATGATGCGCCAAATGTTTTCTGTTGGTGAAAGGTCTGGACTGCAGGCCGGCCAGTTCAGCACCTGGACTCTTTTTCTGCAAAGCCATGCTGTTGTGATAGATGCAGTATGTGGTTTAACATTGTCTTACTGAAATATTCAAGGCCTTCCCTGAAAAAGACGCTGTCTGGATGGGAACATATGTTGTTCTAAAATCTCTATATACTGTTCAGCATTGAACACTAAACACTAATGCAACCCCATACCATCAGAGATGCAGGCTTTTGAACTGTGCACTGATAACAAGCTGGATGGAACTCCTCTTCTTGAGACCGCAGGACACGGTGCCCAGAGAAGACGGCGGCGTTTCTGGATTTGCATGATACAGTTTTAACTTGTATTTGTGGATTGCACAGCAAACTGTGTTCACAGACAGTGATTTCTGGAAAGTGTTCCTGAGCCCATGCTGTGATTTCCAGTACAGAATCATGCCTGTTTTTAATGCAGTGCCGTCTGAGGGCCCAAAGATCATGAGCATCCAATATTGACCGCTGGCCTAGTCCATTGCATACAGGGATTTCTCTGAAATTCTCTGAATCTTTTGATGATATTATGTACTGTAGATGGTGGGATATCCAAAGTCTTCGCAATTTTACACTGAGGGACATTTTTCTGAAATTGTTCCACAATTTTTAGATGCAGTTTTTCGCTGATTGGTGAACCTCTGCCCATCTTTGCTTCTGAGAGACACTGCCTCTCTAAAAATACTCTTTTTATATCCAGTCATGTGAATTAGTTGAAAATTGCTCCTCCAGCTGTTTTTTTATTAGTACCACTTACTTCTCCCGCCTTTTGTAGCCCCTGTCCCAACTTTTTTGAGATGCATTGCTGCCATCAAGTTCTAAATGAGTTAATATTAATGAAATGGTAAAATGTCTCACCCCTAACATCTGATATGTGTTCTATGTTCTATTGTGAATAAAATACGGGTCTATGAGATTTGCAAATCATTGCTTTATGTTTTTAGTTACATTTATTTACATTTTACACAGTGTCCCAACTTTTTTGGAATTGGGGCTGTTGGATAATATACTCAAAGTGCACATATAATAGTAGCCAATCGGCATTTATGTTGAAAACTTGTCAAAATGATTGTCTATAGTAATCGACTGTATGGTACAGATGTTTATACCAGTAAAATAACTGATGCTTACTAGTGTAATGTAGTGGGAGATTAAATATCAAACATATGAGTGTCCCCATAGTACCTTTGAACACACCACCTCATACGCTCTGATGGCTTTTTATACCTGAATTCAACCAATGTGTCCAGACACCCCTCCAAATCAGTGAATTCAGCAGTGCAACTGTACCCAGCCTTGGGCTGTGGAGCAGTGAAACTGTGTTATCTCTGGAGTGATGGAGCTCTGTGCAATAACTTTGAGGGAACTGGATGGATACTTCCTTTATTCAAATATTATAACTTCAGTTATAACATAAATGCATTTAAGTGTGTAACAAAGTAGTGTTTAATTCATTACATTGAAAAAAAGATTGTAATGAATTGTGATGGATTTTTTATAGACTTATGAAAGACAGAAGTCATTTTTAATTGGCTTGTTTTGCTTAGTACTGTTCTTCTTATCGTTGTTCAATACAAGCCAATAATGAAATAAATCCAATATTTTAAACTGAGTCAGAAACATTATTCAGTTGCTATTGAATGTTTATATTTGTGGTTTACTTTAAATGTAAAGCTCAGGTTATTTCATTTTTTTGCTTTATTCTTTGAAACATGAGCTTTTTTTAAAATGTTGTGCAAACCATCTGCATTATATGTCTCCGATTGGGGCTGGTTGGCACAATTGCACAACATGAATTCAGTCCCGAATGCGTTGATTCCAGGAAATGTTTTCTGACATAGAAAGTTTTTAGTTAAGAGGTTTCTTTTGCTGCTAGTTGGGTTATTCTAATGTATGGTATGCCAGGGATACTTACATGTTTGCTGTTTTGGTAAGTTGCTCTGGACAAAACTGTCTGCCATATGACTAAATGCAAATGACTGAATGTTTTTCCCTCTTAATCTATTACCAGTTGGTCTTGTGGAGTCACCGTTCCAGAGCCCCCCACTTTTCACCAGAGCCGGCCTCAAGAGGAAGAAGAGACAAGTACGTGTTCTTTGTGCTAACTTATACTGCACCAACATACTTTTGCTTCAGTTAGCAAATCCAGTTCCCTTTGGAGAGTCACCTATTGTAAGAATATTAGAAAGACTCTTTTTGATTCATTTCTTATTCTTTTTTCTTTCGCCGTTCTTTGTTGCTTTGCTTTTCATATGAAACGTTGAGAATATGAAGGTGTACTACAAGTGGAGCTCATGTGTACAGCTTGTATACCTTGTCTGAGTAAGCGCATTACTGTGAATCAGAGATGAAAATAGAATTTATGACATCGTTGTAAATGGTGATGTCAGTGTTGACATTTATAGCTTTTCTTTTAGACTTTTCTTTGTCCTTCAGGTATCAAGAAGTCCCCGCAACGTCCAAGACGAGACCAAATACATTGAGCTAATGGTTATTAATGATCACCTGATGGTAGGTTCTAAGGTTATAAATCCTGTGAACATGCATTATTATCTTGTATTTTTCTTAAATTTAATGAAGCTGTTTTTTTCTTGCAGTACAAGAAGCATCGTCTTTCGGTGGGACAGACGAACAACTACGCCAAGTCGGTTGTGAACATGGCTGATTTGGTAAGCATAACGTTGCACTGTGGTGAGACACACACAAACTGCTCTGAAACTGGTTTAGTTTGCTGGCTAACCAACAATCCACAGGTTAGCATACTTCATGCACATTAAGTCTGAAAAATAAATCTGGTCGTTTTGAGCTGAGTGAGTTAAAAATGACTGCATGTATCATTTTAAATTCAGTTTTGAGCTCAGCTCACCCGGTTAGTTCAAATCGACATGATATCTAGTGGTTTTGAGTACGTATTCTTCATCTGGTGTTTGGCACAACTTCTCCAAACCTTTCTCCAAATCAACTCCGCACGCTGGGCAGTGAATGGGAATTCCATTTTTCCTGTGAAGTATAATTAGTCCTGTGGTTTAGCATTGTCTTGCTGAAATATGCAAGGCCTTCCCTGAAAGAGACGTTGTCTGGATGGGAACATATGCTGTTCTAAAACCTCTACATACTGTTCAGCATTGATAGATCCTTTCCAGATGTGTAAGCTGCCCACTCCATAGGCACTAATGCAACCCCATTTTGAACTGCTTTCGAACTGTGTGCTGATAACAAGCTGGATGGAACTCCTCTTCTTAAATCCGCAGGACACGGGATCCAAGGTTCCCAAAAAGAATTTCAAATTTTGATTCATCTGACCACAGTTTTCCATTTTGCTTCAGTCCATTTTAAATGAGCTTTGGCCCAGAGAAGATGGCGGCGTTTCTGGATTTCCACAACTTCTCCAAACCTTTCTCCAAATCAAATTTCTCCACACTCAGGGCAGTGAATTGGAATTCCATTTTTTCTGTGAAGTATAATTAGTCCTTATTATTTTTTGTTACACAGTCACAGCATAAATGTTTAATGCTTTTTAGCTACACTGCAGGTAAAATCAAAATGCAAAAGTCTTGAAAATGATATGTAGAGCTAATACTGGGCGAACAGTCGGTTCTCATAGTCTTATAGCAGTGGGTAGCGCTGTTGTCTCACAGCAAGAAGGGCCTGAGTTCAATTCCCTGGCTGGGCAACTAGGGTCCTTTCTGTGTGGAGTTTGTATGTTCTCTTGGTGTCAGTGTTTCTTCCGGCTGCCCCAGTTTCCCCCCAAATTCCAAGGATATGCAGTCAGGCCAATCAGAGATGCTAAATTGCCCCTGGGTGTGAACATGTGTGTGAATGTATATGTCTGTGTGTCTGCCCTTTGATGAACTGGTGACCTGTCCAGGGTCTAAATAGTAGTATATAGATAGTAGTATATATACAAATAAACAGGACGATTTGATATTTAAGAGTGTGCTAGATGAACCATTTCCAAAGCTTTTCTCCAAGTCGAGTATTTACAGTTATATTCCAATTCCTAGTTTACCCAATCAGTCCTTCATTAAAGTAAATCAGGTGCTGCTGATGGAGTTTAACAGGCTGGGGCACAGTGACAAGTCAGGAGCTGAACCTGTGTTCTTCTAACCATATTCTTCTAACTAAGACCTCAATAACTTAAAAAGAAATACAAAAAATAAATCATAAGTTTTAATGGCTGCCCAAAACATTTGGTTGTTAGAAGAATCTCACTTATGAATAGGTGATGAGTGATGTCATATGGAAACACTGGTATGGGACAGCGGGACAGTAACTATGTACAAGTGGCTATAACATTTATGCGAAATTGTGAAAATAGCTGTCTTTATTGAGTGATGGTCTATGTTAGCTCACCTAACAGGACTGTCTGTTAGTGTTCTCCATACCTCTCATGTTCAGAAAATGTTAATGTAAGGGATTTTACAATCTGCTTGGTCAGCAGGGGAAAATGCATAGAGAAGCGTTAATGCTGTTTTTTTGTGATTAACATGACGTTCCGGCTAATCTGGCAAATACTGGAAAAGCGTAGCTGAACCTGATATTGTGATAGTTTTATGGCTTTGTTCGTAGCAAAAAAGCTTTTACTTTTTTTGGGCTTTTTCTGGGATAGAAAGGCTACTTTTTTGGAGTTTCCAAAATGAAAGCATATTTGACACTGTCTTCAAGGCTTTACTTTTTTCTTTATTTTGCAGAGCTGTCACATAAAAGCAATATGTATGAGAGTTGAAAGGTTTGGCATGAGGTCATGAGATCTGGCCAATTTGTCTTGACTTGAGAGGTATGAAAAGTCTGTGAAAAGTCTGAGACCGCTCCTGTCTTAGTAGCATTGTGTGATGGGGAAGGCCTAGTGAGTGGGAGGGAACTGACCGTGAATAACCACAACCAAAAAAAAAACAAAAAAACAAAACAAAACAAAAAACCGCCTTTCAGCCTCTACACACTTTCCATCGGCTCATATTTTCTCAGAGCTGAAATAAGAACAGGCCCTGCAGAGCCGAACAGCACAGGCTGCTCGATCTGCCTGAGTGTTTGCCCTTGAGAATTAAAACTAGAGTTCAGATGAAAATCTCTCGCTCACTCTCTCTATTCCTCTCTCTGTCACGCACTCACTCCCCCGGTGAGAGACAGTTGGTATTTGGCTGTGCTTGCCTGTTGATCAGTATGTCAACACCAGGCCTCAAAACGGCTCCAACAGTAAACAAAAACAAATCGAAAGTCGTGATCGGAGTTCGTTGCTGCGGCTTAAGATGGGAGATCATTTTGCACTTGGACTTGCAGTCAGATAAACAAACAGATGGAAAACGTTCATCATGTGTACCATCATAACGCTCAACAAGGAACAGGAAGCAATTCATGGAAAACTTTAATGGGCCTCTGTTATGTGGACTGGGATGTCCACATAAGTTTGGGGCACATCTTTTCTATTCTTGTATTGTTTTATAAGATCAGTTTTACAGGATATGCTACTGTATGTTCTTTTGTTTTTAAATAAAATGCCAGTCAGTAGTATATAGTTTATATACTTAAAATAAATGTACATATGTTAATGCACAGTTACTAATAAAATTTGCACAACGTTTCTGCAAATTTTTGTAGTAATTGTGCATTAAAATGTGCAGACGTGTGTTTTCCGCACAGGATGTGTTCACTTATTTTCACTTAGAAAGGCTACAAAGATGTAAACTGCCTATGTATAATTAAAGGTCTGTAGAATGAAGACATTTTAACACATGAAATATTCAAAATGTTCAGTCAAAAGTGCATTACAGTCCTTGCAGCATCACATATTTTGCTAATTGCTCAGGCCCTTGATGTCTCTTTATTCACGTTTTTGTTTATGTTTGTGTCCTCAGATCTTTAAGGAGCAACTGAACACTAGAATCGTCCTGGTTGCCATGGAAACGTGGGCAGCAGACAACAGGTTCAACATTAACGACGACCCTATGATCACGCTTCGAGAGTTCATGAAGTACAGACGAGATTTCATCAAAGAGAAGAGCGACTCCGTCCACCTCTTTTCGTATGTTCACACACACACACACACACAGACACACAAACACAGACACACACACACACACACACACACTGTCATCACTTCTCCTGCGGTGTATCCCTAAAACAAGTGAAAGGGCACGTCTAATAAATTCTCTTTGTGTCTCCAGGGGCAACCGTTTCCATAGCAGCTGGGGAGGAGCTTCGTATATGGGAGGAGTCTGTTCACTGACTAAAGGCGGAGGAGTCAATGAGGTACCTGTTGAATAAATGGATAAATATGATTATATATTTCAACATAATAGCAATGTGTGTTATTTATATATATATAAATAATATATATACACACCATACACACACACACACACACATATATATATATATATATATATATATATATATATATACATATATATATATATATATATATACATGGCTGTGAATTGCTAATGACTCATTCACTTAAAGGGGAATATCACCTTTTTGTTTTATTTTCTGAATAATTCAGTTCATGTAAACAGTCATTCAGAGTGGTTTCAGATTTCTTTACAGTGGTGGTGATGGGAACCAGGGGTCACCATGTGTACAACACAAATATAGGCACTTTATTTATTATCCAAACCACCAGTGAACCTACATGTGTCTTCTGAGCTTTTATATTTAATGTTGTTGATGATAAAATAGTGGAAAACCTATTTAGAAAAAATAAGTCTTCTTTGCGAACTGTTTTACCTCACAGCACCCTGCATGTATCCCTCCACTATGAATGGATTAAAATAAATGGATTAAAATACATTATAAGCAACAATGTGACAGACATAAGGCACCATATTCGTGTCATAACATGTGAGGGAGCTTTCAGAGGCATTAAACTCATCAGACACCTCCACTGTGAACAACTCTGACCCTGTAAGTTTCTCTAGAACGGAGCATTTCACACCAAACCACTCTGAATCACTTTGTTTACATCTCAACTATTAAATTATGCGAGTTGTGCGATTGTAAAGTCGTTCCCCTTTAAGACAGCAAGGTAAATGGTTAGAGTAGGCAAAATAATGGCCAAAGTAAATGTTTTGACACGTTTTCTGCTCTTTTCTGGAGTGAAGGCAGTGTGGAAATTGAGTAGCCACTCCCATCTCTGTCATTTATACTGAGATTTCTTATCCTGTGTGAATCAGTCATAAACATTACAGACATCCTGTGGTAAACAGGCAATTAACCCACCTCACCACAGAAAACGAACCCCGTCTGAATAGGGCTTTAGTGTTACATTAGAATTTCCGTTTTTGTTTGTTTGTTTTTTTCCAAATCTTTTTATTGCATTACATATATTTTGTAAAGACATAAAAACTCTGCATTTTACAAATGCAACTGTAAAATGTATATTTCCACATCTATTCGTAACCCTTCTACCATCACCCATCCACCTTGTCCCTCTCTCTCAAACTGCTCCTGAGACTCTAACAGTAATTAACAGAATACATAACGGAACAAGAGTGGTCGAATGTCTGGTCAATATCAGTGTCACTGTCACTGGTCCCATAACCTGGATTGGTCGTGGGGGCGCTGTACTGATGAACGCGTCACCAACTCACTCCATTGTTGCCAGCCGTGTAGTAAGACCTGCGTTTCTGCAATGCTCTTCCCTGTCCATTCAGTTATGTTGTCTGTCTTTCATCGTCTGCCTCATCTCCTTTTCCCTGGCACTGTTCCCTGAAGGATGATCTTCGAGATCCCTGCAGATCTTGTTGCATAGTCATACCACCTCATTTTCCTTTTCTTCACTGTGGTGAGGAGGTCTTCGTATTGTCCAACATGTTGTCCAATGGTCTCTCTGATTGCTTCGTTTGGTATACGGTCTTTATAAGAGATGCCAAGAATTCTTCTGAAACAGCTCATTTCGATTGCTTGGATTCTTCTCTGGAGTCCATGATTCGCAAGCATACAGGAAAATTGATAGAACTAGTGCACGCAGCAGGTTCAACTTTGTTTTGGGGCTGATGTTCCTGTCTCTCCAAATGGGCTTCAATCTGGTCAGTGCTGTTGTAGTTTGTGCAGCTCTAGCCAGTATTTCTATCTTCAAACCTTCCACACTGATAATGGCACCAGGCTACTTGAATACAGTTTCCAACTGTTGTCCATTGACACTGATCTTGGTGCTGATTGGATTCTTGTTGTTCGTCATGAGTTTTGTCTTGATCTCCATCTTGAGGTCTTCTTCAAGCACTTCACCAGTTCAGCCAGTTCTTCTTCACTGCCTGCCAGCCCAACAATATCATCAGCAAATCTGAGATTTGTGATGGTCCGTCCTCCGATGTTGACAGTACCACAGTGTTCCTCCGGTGTTCCTAAGTGTATAAATAATAATATGAAACATGTACAAATGAAAAAACTGACAGAGCAGGGAGACGAGGGGAAAAAGGATAGTCTCTCTCTCTCTCTGTTCATATAACAAAAAAAGTCTGAGGAAAAAAAATGTGTGAATAGTACTTTAAGATCTCTGTTTTCTCTTTCTGTCGTTCAGTATGGAAAAACAGAAGAAATGGCCATCACTCTAGCGCAGTCACTGGGCCAAAACATTGGCATTTTCTCTGATAAGAAAAGGATTCTGAATGGTAAGGAGTCAGTTTTTTTCCTCTTCCTCTTTTCCATGTGTTTATCAATCAGTTCTCTCTCTCTTTCTCTCTCTCTCTCTCTCTCTCTCTCTCTCTCTCTCTCTAATACCTTTAATTTACCGGTTCAAACTATATCAAACCTTGTCCTATTTTTAAGTAGTATTGTAAGCAGTATTCTAAGCAGTAAACAGGACATATAGACATGCACACTTGCCTACGTGTACAGACAATCATGCACACTCTTCTTGTACCATCTCTGCAATTTCACAGGGGAGTGCAAGTGCGATGATAAATGGTCTGGCTGCATAATGGACGATGTTGGGTAAGTTTCTAAGCAAACACGCTTCTCAGAGCACACACGCAATAAACACACATGCGTTAGGAATTTAAATCTGGTACACAAATTCAAATAAACGTGCACACTCTTTCACAAACATCCATTTTTATTCTGCCTAGTGATGTCATGCTACCATTTGGTCGCAGTTAGCCTGTGTGCTATCTCAGTTTACCCCATCTGTTATTCTGACAAAACCAATGAGTCAATATGATCAGCATTAGGTTTTTGGTTATGTATGTGCTCCTCCCCATCTGCAACACTTTCTCTGCCATGCTGGTCTCACATTTATCTCGAAAAAAATCCCAAAGCGCTTTACAGGCCTGAGATATGAATGTTATTTTTCATCTATGACCACTAGGTGGCAGTAAATCCAGTGACATTTACTAATTTACAGAAGTCATTTTGGAAATGGGCTTTAAGTCAATACTGAATTAAGCAGATTCAGAATAACTCTGAACGTTGACCTCCGTGAGAAAGTGTTGACAGTGTCTTAGACACTATGTATGTGTGTCTTGCCCCTCAGAGGCCACTGTAGATGTTCAGCTTCTTTTTCTTGTTTGCTGAGAGATTTCAGTTAAACCTTGATTTCCACTCACTGGCCACTTTATGAGCTCCATCTACCTTATTCCCGTTTCAGTGTGAGAAAGTTAACACATCCTCAGCAGCAGGGATTCTCTAGCATTTCTGCCTCAAAGTCTACCTGTTTCTCAGAATATGTGAATACAGTATGTGATGTGTATCATTAAACATCAAATATCAACAGATTAGATGAAGTATAAATAGATGAAGCTGCTTTGTGCGCCATTATTACAAGGCTCGTATTAATATTCTTTACCTTTTGAAAGTGTTTTATATTTCTTTCTTTCTAATGATTATTATTATTTTTTTTTTATATTTAATAGTTATTTTTTTTACTAAATTGCCATCACCAGCTGACCACTGGCTCGTCCTCAGTATTGGCCCCAGAGGGTGTGGTCTGCAGCTCAGTGGTTAAGAAAGAGGAATAAACAATTTCTGTTTAGACTTTTACGATTATTATTATTATTATTATTATTATTATTATTATTATTGCTACTTACAAGGCAGAATATTTTCTTGTATTAACCCCATAAAATCCCAGTCTTATTACATACTAAGGCTTATTATTCAGTAACTACAGGGACTTCAGTGCAAACTGATTGAGTTATTCTTAGGTTATAGAAGTGTGTAATAACACTTTGGGCTCTGGCCATGTAAGGGGTTAATTCATTTCTTTTTTTTAATTTATGCTTATTTCTTAAGTTAAATCCAATAAAAACAACACTTTATTATAAAAAGTATAAAAAGATATATAAATAAAACAACAAAATTAATAAATAAATATACTTTCATTTACAATGTTTATCAATTTTATTTATTTAGACAGTTTATTCATTTAAAGATTATGTATCACCTTTTATAATTAAATGTTGTTTTCATTGTCTTTACTATTCTATGATTCTGGTGGATTGGTGAGCCCCCCGCAGTTAGAATGTCATTTAGGGCCCCCAGTCGCTTAGAAACAGCCCTGGATTGTCCAGCAGCATCTGACAACAGTACAAGGCAGGGGTTTCTAATAAAGTGACCAGTGAATTCACCTTTACTATGGCCTAACCTACTGCATGTTTTTGGTTATTGTAATAGGAGTATGACTTCTACAGTGGTCTCTGTTTTGTGACCTGTTATTCTACGTTTTCGGATACGGTCACAGTAGTAGCCCATGTAAACCTCGTCAGTGTGTGTACGTGTTTCTGTTCATGTCCGTGTGCGTGTGTGTTTACCCGTCTCTTTTAATACCTTTTCCCTTCAATCCCGAATGGGACAGCAGGTGAGCAGAAGCCTGGCCGTGATTTGCTACTCGTTCAACAAATCAGTTGCTTTTTGGGGGAGGGCCCTACGTGGATTCTGCCCCCCCATTCCATCCTATAGCATTTTGGCCAAGTGCCTCAATGCTCTACTTTAACCAGTAGAGAGAGACATGTGGGAAAGATACAGTGTGGTTTGGTGCCCTCTGTATTTTGTTCTGCGGTCTCTTATATATATTATTCATGTTTTATTTCATTATTCTTTGTTTGTTTTATTGCTGACAGCTCCCTGTTTGATAGATTGTAGTTAATGGGGATTTTGGTGATGATCCTCCCCTCAAAGCTTAAAAAACCATTTTCGACCGACTGAAGCAGTGTCATTTCTAAGCTGTTCAAATTCCATTTACTGCCTTCTGCCACAAAGCCCCTGCTCATGAAGCACGTCACAAACACAAACGGGTTGCTTACAAGTGGATTATTTATGGTATTTGCTAAGTAATGTGTCTGATGCAGTTTTGGGCCAAGTAGCCTTACTTTCCAGGTGATTGCTGGCCACTACAAAATCAGCCCTTTTTGGATTTCATATGAGGGGTTAGAAACAGGGAACAGGAACCAAAAATATACTAAGGCTACGTTCACTTTACCAGGCTGAAGTGGCACAAATCTGATTTTTTGCCCTAGTGTGACTCAGATCTGATGTTTTCAGAGCTGTGTGGACACAAATCTGATCTTTTCAAATCCGACCTGCACCACTTTCATATGTGGTCCTAGATCGGATACGTATCCGATTCATGTCCCTGCGACCGTAATGTGACGCTCAGACCGGAATTCATGTGCTTTTTTTTCCACTGCGCGTGCTCCATCATTCAGCGTTACCATGGCAGCAGCGCCGAACAGACGTTAAAGCCTGTAAACGGTGGAAAAGCAGCTCATCTCACCTTTTTCTCCTTCATCTCGCTCTAATAATGAAGCTGAGAGCCGATCAGTTAATTATTGTTCACATTAATGACACATTTGAATCACTTACCTAAACGAGTGTGAACCATCGAGTCAGAGAGATCAGATTTGCGCAAAAAATTGGATTTGAGCAGTGAGGTTTGTAATGTGAACATAGCCTGAATCCAATGTTAACAATAACAAATAAGACTTCATTACATAACCAGGGCCAGTGTTATATTTTTTTAAGTAATACTGTTTTTACTTAACGTTAAAGTGTCCCAACGCAACTAGCTTAGACTTCAGTGCCACAGTGGGAATTGTATTGGATATTAAGTGTACGCTACCCGTCTATCAGAATTTTATCAGTTTTAACCCACACGTCCGTGTGTATGCACCTTCATACGCCATTTTTATCAAGCTGTTGGGAAACAAACTTCTGTTTAAATATAGTTTGTTTATATCAAGATATAGATGATAGACTGAAAAAAGTTTGTGAAGTTCATAACGTCTTAAAAAGTTCGCAAAAGCAGTGGTTAGTCATTTTTCAAATTGCTCAAATGGCCTTTTCCTGTAAAAATTAGACTGTTTTTGGTCACGCTGAGCAACAGAACCCACCAGACTCTGATTAAGATATTAGATGTTACTTAGATATTAGCTAATATTAGCTAGCTAGCTAACTGGTTGCTGTTTTCCCTAGATAAAGAACACATAATCTGTTAAAATTTCTTTAACTAAATGTAAAACGTACTTAAAAAACATGTATTACACAAATGCTGTGATCACTGATTTGGGATAATTGTTATTTTGATAGCTTAGAACTGTGGCTGCGGTCAACTAGGGCTCATAACTCGGACTTTCTAAACTCTGGCCTCTTGAAAAATCAAGGAAAACACCCCTCAAGTCAGGATGGTGGTTTCAACTCTAAGTTTAGTGCCTGATGTCAAATCAAGATGGCTGCTCACAGAGTAAATAATAATGAAGAACTAATAAAATTTAAATGATGAATAATAAAAAATTAATAGTAAAGAACTAATTTACTGATTTCAGACGAGATTTACTTAGTTTGGAGAAGGTAATACATCATGAATGTTGACGTTATCACTCATATCACTAATGTTAGCTGTCTAGCTTGTTCCTAACAACACTCGATTTCATGGAGGCATCCATGATTTTCCTGTTTTTAGCTGCAAAAATTTAGAAGTTACGTAATTCCAAGCTCCGACTTCCCACTTCCAACTTAAGTAAAACACAATATATGCACAGAATGCTGCATCAGAAGAACATGAAAATCTGGAGAGGCGGTCGGAATGTTGGAACAGGAATGGAAAAACACAGTTTCTGAGCCAAAATGAGGCATATTTCGTTTCTAATCCCTGTTTCTAATAAAAGCCATTATTTTTTAAATCAAATAACCAAAAGAACATCATTGCACAACCCTAACATGGCTGGAATCATGACTATGGGCTTAGTGACAGAGCACACTGGCTGAAACGTACCAAAACATGTCACTGGCTCTCTGTGTTTGCTATGTGCTTAGCTTCTCAAGCGATACTTCTGGTCAGGGGTCTCACCCAAGTGGCACCAAACCTTTTTCTCTTTGAGAAATGTTCACCAGCCTCTCTCGAGGTTTACTGTGCACATGCGAATCTTACTGCTTATTGTCACTTGTGTTGGATCCTTAAACGAAAGTATTATGAAAAGTACGATCGTAATCGTTATTCACATGGTGGGGGTGGGTTAATCACTTTTCCCCAGTCAGGAGGGATTTTTACACGAGCAAAGTTTGAGACTTCTGAAGCTGAGAAAGTCTAATGACTCTGACGCAGACTTTCACAAACAGGTTTTGGGGGGTCTAGACAAGTTAGTCCATTTTTGTCTTGCCATCGTTTTTGTTGTTTCGTCTCATCTATGGACGCCACAGTGCAATCAAACCACAAAGCCTAAAATCTCTAAGCCAATTAACCTGAATATCAGTGGCATTTCAGATATATGTTCAATGATGAGCTGCCACTCCATCGATGGACGTTTTACTATTATTTTTCTCTCAGTGCCTGCATGTGTGATCACATGTACTCAATACTTCACGTGTTCTGATGTTGTTAATACGCTGTATGGCCAAAAGTATGTGGACACCCCTCCTAAATCACGTGTTTTGGCCACACCCATTGCTAACAGGTGTATAAAATCAAGCACATGGCCATGCAGTCTCCATAGACAGACATT